TGGGGAATCTCCGAGGGAAGGCGGGGGAGGGTGGGTGTGTGGGAAGAGATCAAACAAAGACCTTGTATGCATATATGCATAACCCATGGACACAGACAAGAGGGTGGTAAAGGCCTGGGGTGGGGGATGGGGGACAGGGAGGGAAGGAGGGTGGGCTAGAAGGGGTCAGCGGGGGCAAAAAGGGGAAAATATGTAACACTTTCAACAATAAAGATTTCATTTTTTAAAAAGTGAAAGTCTTTAAAAATTGATCTAAAGATGTGGAGAAAGGGAAGCTTTTTAAAAAGTCATTCAGCCCTGACCAGTTTGGCTCAGTGGATAGAGCGTCAGCCTGCGGACTCAAGGGTCCCAGGTTTGATTCCGGTCAAGGGCATGTACATCCACTGTACTCTGAACAGGGCCTTTGTACCCTAATTGGCCTTGAGCATCCTGAGTACTCTGAATAGGGTCCCCACAGAAAGATAAATTATCGCTCTTTGTAGATGGTATGACTTTAGCCTGGAAAATCAAGGTGAATTTGCTAAAACCTGTCTGAACAAAAAGAAGCTGCAATAAATAAATCTATATATATAAAAGCCTGTTCAACCGTTCAACCATTCGACCAGTAGCTATGACACGCACTGACCACCAGGGGGCAGACGTTTAACGCACAGGCAGGCATGGAAACATGGAACAGACTGATGAATCTCAGAGGGAAGGTAGGAGGGGGGAGGGTGGGAAGAGATTAACCAAAGATCTTATATGCATACTAGAGGCCCGGTGCACGGATTCATGCACCAGTGGGGTCCCTTGGCCTGGCCTGCAGGGAACAGCCGAAACTGGCAGTCCGACATCCCCTGAAGGATCCTGGATTGTGAGAGGGTGCAGGCCAAGCCGAGGGACCCCACTGGTGCACGAATCCGTGCACTGGGCCTCTAGTATTTATATAAAATAATTGTCTTTAAACAAAGTTAATATATGTATGTGTATTTGTGTATGTATATATGTGTATTACATATGTATGTATATATTTATGTATGTGTGTATTTGTATATATGTATATGTGTGTGCTCATTGTGTATTTGTACATGTGTGTATATGTGTACGTATGTATGTGTGCATAGCGTGTATTCATGTATACATGTATGTATGTGTTTGTATGCATGTGTATATATGTATACGTAGGTGTTCGTGTGTGTCTGTGTAGAGATATACAGCAAGCACTGGGGGGAGATTGAAATGGTTAGGCTTCCTTAGAGAGCTGTTTGTCAGTATCTTGTAAAGTTAACATACCTCTTCCCCACAGTTTAGCCCTTCTGCTCCTAGGGTGCCTTACGGCAGATGCACCCACCAGGTGAGGGATGAGGGTGTGAGAAGATAGGGTGCATTGCCGCCTTCCCTCCCTGTTCTCTTTCTTACAATTTCCACTTTCATCGCCATGATACACGTGCGGTGTGAACGAAGGGTGTGGGGCACAGCTGGTGGACCAGCTCTGGGGGCATTGGTGCCGCTGAGTGGGGAGCCTCTGCTTCACGCACACATGCACACAATGTAAAGAGAAGCACGTCAGCCTTAGGAGGAGGGCGATCTGAGGATAAAGTTTCGTGGAAATGAATTCATTTTTTCCTTATTCTACAGTCATACCTTTGATGTGTTCCTGCTTCCCACTAGATCGGTCTTATATTTGAGCCATATTCTTTAATAATAAATATTGACTTTACCTTCAACACATGAAAAACGAGTGTTTAAATAATGGATCGTTTGTTTAAGCTTTAAATTACAGATGCAATGAGTAGTCACAAAGCAGAGATGTGTTTGAAAATAATGTAAAGATTACATTAATTAAAGTCGCTTTCATCTGAGTTCCTCCAGCTCGGGAACGGGGTGCTCCATAAGCAAGCACAGGGGAGGTCACCTGGCCACCTGCGGGGACGCGGCAGGTGACTCCCCGCACGCACCTCCCAGAACTCCGATGGGGAGTCAGACTAAGGCTCTTGCTAGAACATGAAAACCCTGGCTTCTGCAGAACCTATTTTATTAGTTCCATGTATAACTTCGACCCACTGCTCCATATCTTTAAAATGATATGTGACTATGGAAAAATGAATATGTTTTACTGACCTTGGAAATTAACAGTAAAAAACACACACCAAGAAATCATGATAATCTCACTGTTGCTTATGGAGGGAAGTAACTGATCAGTTGGGGAGGTGGTTGGCATTTTAAGAAACTGTTAAGTAAACTTGAATAAATATGTCTCACCTTTTGTTCTTAGAATGGCCTAGACTTTGGCTGCATTAAACAATACATGCCATTTTGCTAGAAATGGGGCTGTTGTGTTTACAGAAAATCGGTTGGCAGGAGGTACAGAGGAGGAAGAAAGAGCCCCCCCCCCCATATGTACTTAGATGACGATGAAGAGTGGCCCATTTACAGGGAGCGTGTCTGCGTTATGCGTTTTTATTAATTTTTGCTGGCTATTCTGTGCCAATGGTTCCCTTTCAAGTGCAGAGCTCCTCACACCAAAGCTCTCCACTCCCCAGAACACGGGTAATGACAGACCCTGAAAATCACACTTACACTGCAGTCCCAAATAATGGCACCCACAGCGTGGTCCCTGGAAAAGCTCTAAGGCAGTGGTTCTCAACCTTCTGGCCCTTTAAATACAGTTCCTCATGTTGTGACCCAACCATAAAATTATTTTCGTTGCTACTTCAGAACTGTAATGTTGCTACTGTTATGAATCGTAATGTAAATATCTGATATGCAGGATGGTCTTAGGCGACCCCTGTGAAAGGGTCGTTTGACCGCCAAAGGGGTCGCGACCCACAGGTTGAGAACCGCTGCTCTAAGGCATCCTTTCATTTTTGTAGTTCTTTTTGTCCTCAGTGTGTTTCCCACGAGGGGTGACTTTCAAATGCCCACTCTTTAAAGCCACTTGGAATAGCTCTGGTTGGCCAGGCCGCCCACTGGATACACATTTGGTTCTTTGTCTTATTTTATTTCTGGTATTTAGGGATGGCTTTTTAAAAGTCAACTCATTTTACAAGTAAGCAGAATATTTGCATGGTTCCAGTCTATACAACAAAGGTGTGTTTCTATTCCAGGTCCTTCTACTCTCCATCCCCACAGGTACCCTTCAAAATACTTACGGCTGCCCTAGCTGGTGTGGCTCAGTGGATAGAGCGTTGGACTGCGGACTGGAAGGTCCCGGGTTCGATTCCAGTCAAGGGCACGCGCTCAGGTTATGGGCTCAATCCCCAGTAGGGGGCATGCAGGAGGCAGCTGATCAATGATACTCTCTCATCATTGATGCTTCTGTCTCTCTCTCCCTCTCCCTTCCTCTCTGAAATCAATAAAAATATATTTTTTAAAAAGAAAACAAACACTTGAAAAAAACCCCACCAAAATACTTATGGCTTAGTCTCTGAATGCTTACTTTTCAAATAGAAGCAGCCTAGATAGATAGATAGATGACAGATGGATATAAATATACAGATAGATAGTATATAGATGATAGACAGAAAGACAGACACAGAGAGCTGGCTGCCTTCCCAGTTCTTGCCTGTCTTGGATAAACAATAATGTGCACTTGAGCTCTCCTCCACCTTACTCTGCTCACAGGGACCTCTGTGATCGATGCAGAGATTGTGCTCTTGTTCATGGCTGCATAGTATTCCTTCATGTTGGTGAATGGTGATAACTCACTCAGTGCCCCATCAATGAGGATTTGGGTTGCTTCCAATCTTCTGCTTTTACAAGTTTGTATAACATTTTAACAGAAATGGAGCTCCTTATGTACTTGCCTATAACTTGCTCTTTTGTGAATATAATTTGATGTTATTATATTTGTCCACTTTGGTAGGAAAATACAGCAGATGGGATTAATGGCAGATTAGATGTTTCCAGTGCCTCACTGAGAGCCCCTGAAAGTAGCCCGGACTGAAGGAAGAAGACAGTCAGAGCGGACACGCACGCAGGACACGTGAAGGCACCGCTCTGAGGACACAGGACCTTTTCCCCACAGCTCGGTGAAGCAGAACTTCCTCCTTCAACAGAGGGGAAACTGAGGCAAGAGAGCCCAGGGGTGCCCCGGGCAGCCCTGGCTGCTGCACCCTGCTGTCTGCTCCCATCAGGCTGAGGCCCGGGGCCTTCACTGAGGCCTGGACTGAGAGACGCAGGAGGGCAGGGCCATCGGTGACGAGGGCTGTGCCTGGCACAGAGCAGGTGTGCCACAAATATCTATCAAGTGACTGCGTGGTGGGGGCTCGGCTGGCTCACTTGTCGGGCCATCCTGATTCCCCAGTGGCCACGGCTGCAGTTTCCACACTCAGCCCACAGATGGCAGGTGGCCACCCCGTGGGGCCGCTCCCTTGAGAATCTGGCAAAGCCACCAGGGTGTGTGTGAGAAGTACCCAACGAGAATTCCTTTCCAAATAGACATCTTGGGAAGAAAAGTCTTGGCTGGCGATGTGAGATCTAGAGCAGTGATAAGAGGGACCCCGCTGGCAGAGCAACAGGCAGGCAAGATGCCCAGCCCTGAGACGGGGGTGGGGGCCCTGTGGTGGGATGGAGAGGGGAGGAAGGGGGGCCAGCTTTGTCTGGTGGGGTGGGAAGAGGAAGCAGTGAAAGCTGAGCCCTCCACACGCACCCCACCGACCTTCACACGCCTTGTTTTAAGATCATTTTAATTCAGCCCGTTCAGCTGCAGAGAGAGAAAACCTCATTTCTCTACTTGTTGTTGTCAGAGGACCTGTCCAGACAGGGCAAGACTCCTGCCCTAACTATGCATTCACTGACCTTGAATAGCAGCATCGGCCTTCATTGTAGTGGCTTAGAAATGGCTTTTAAAAAAGAAAACAAAATGTAGTGTTAACTACAGAACAGCCTGCAAAAAGACAAGTCTACCAGTTTTGCCAATAAAACGACTGGCTGCTTTAGAACAGGGTTAAGGTGAAGCAGGGAGCCATTAAGGCCCTGAATGAGTCAGGGCTCTCCAGAGAAACGGAACCAATAGGATGTGCGTGTGCTTATTTGTTTGTTTATTGTAAGGAATTCACTCATGTGGTTTTGGAGGCTGACAAGTCAAACCAGAGACCCCGAGGCCAGCGTGTCAGTGGGAGGCCATCAGGCGGGAGGTGACACATGAAGTTAACCAACACAGACCCCACATGAGCACATGGGTCAGCTGCAGGCAGCAGGCCAGTGGGCCGAGGGGACACCGAGAAAGCCGGTCTCCTGCTTTTGGATAAAATAAGGGTCCTCGTCACCGTGACAGTGATTGGTCCAGGTGGGTATACTAGTTTCCCAGGGCTGCGCAGCCAAGTGCCACTAACTGGGTGGCTTAAACCAACAAGAATGTAATGTCCCACGACTCTACAGGCCGGAAGTGTGAGATCCAGGTGTGGGCAGGGCCGTGCTCCCTCTGGAGGCTCCAGGGGAGAGCCCTGCCTGCCTCTCCCGGCTTCTGGCCGCTGCCGTCAGTCCTGGCGTTCCGTGTTTTGTAGCTGCGTCACTCCAGAGCACGGGGATGGGGGTCTGCCATCACCACCACTCACCTCCGGGCCAGGGAGGGTAGCCAGCTGTTCCCAGTGGGCACTTCAAGTGGTCAGATCTTCCCCAGATGTTCTGTAAAAATAAACCAGGCCTTAGATAGTTTGGGTCAGTGGATAGAGCATCGGCCTCTAGTCTATAACAATAAAAGCATAATATGCTAATTAGACCAAACGACCTTCTGGACGAAGCCGGGGCTGCGAGGGAAGCCAGGGTCCCGGGTGCCAGAGGGAAGCTGGTGCCAGTGGCTAGGGGAAGGAAAGCCTACTCTTGCACAAATTTCGTGCATCGGGCCTCTGTATGGTAATACTATACTTAACTTTTTGAGGAACTGCCGACTGTTTTCCCATAAACACTTTTTAAGTTGTTTAATCCTAACTAACTCAATAAAGGAAACTGTTGGGCATTCCTTTGGGCCTAGGGACACTGTGGGAAGATTACTGACATACCAAGGGTGCCCTGTGTGGGAGGGGGGGCGTTTGGAAACCACTTAGGGATCACTTGCTGTACCACCCAGGCACCACGGGGGCGCTCTGGAGGCAACACAAGCAGGCCTCTCCCTGGAGTAACCGAACCACCAGTGTTTTAAGGTGTCAGCAGAGAGGGGGTGGCATGGAGGTGGAGTGGATCGGTGCTGCTTTAGACAAGTCACCTGGGAAGCCAAGGTGAGGCAGTGACATTGAACAGAAAGAGGGAAAGACGGGTGGGACCTGCAGAGGAGTAGGGCCAGTGTCCCAGGAGGAAGAGCCGCCCGTGCAGAAGGTCTGAGAATGAATATGCTTGGGTTTTGGAAGAACTAAAAGGCCAATGTGACTGGAACAGGGAAGGGGGTGGGGGTGGTCAGTGATGAAGCTGGACAGGTGGGTGGGTGGGGTCATACAAGCGCCTCTGCCCCCTTGGGGCCCAGAGTGGAAGAGCCAGGTATTAATCAGCAGCCCCCAATGAACATGATGATACAACAAGCACATGCTCCTGGGCCTGTAACAGAGGAATTTGACTGAGTTTGAGACTTTGGGGGGAGACAGAGAGATGGGCTGAGTGGGAGCCGATCATCAGCTAAACTTTCCAGACAGACAGGACAGCTTGTGCAAAGGCCCTGGGGAGCCTGAGTCAGAGGACCTGGGGGAAGCAGGGTGGGGGGGGGCGGCCCGGAAACCTAGAGCAGCAGAGACTAGGGCCGTGGTTGGCAAATCGCGGCTCACGAGCCACATGTGGCTCTTTGGCCCCTTCAGTGTGGCTCTTCCACAAAATACCACATGTGGGCACGCACATACAGTGTGATTGAAACTTCATGGCCCATGCGCAGAAGTTGGTATTTTGTGGAAGAGCCAGTATTTTGCCGAGCTGCAGTTTGCCGACCACTAGACTAGGGGATGAAGACAGAGAGACAGGCCCATTTCATCCTGAATGCAGTCAGATCTGTGTTTGACCCAGGCTGGAAATGACTGTGACTTAGGCCAGGAGCAGGCACGTGAGATGGAGTCCAGGGAGAGATTCCAAGGAGGGAAGAGCTAGTGTCTTGGTGACCGGACCGGTGACATTTCCGCCAGGGAAGGGTACAAATTGAGGCCAACGTGCCACATGTCTAAATTGTTGAAAGTTCTAAATCAAGCTAACAAAACCCTATATAATGAAAGCGTAGTGTGCAAATTGTCCCCTTGTCTGGGAGGTTATCTGGGAGTTTGACCAGGGGGTGAGGCCAGCCGGGGGAAGGGAAGGAGGCCCCGGCCGGCAGCCAGCAGCCGCTAGGGACCCTACCAGTGCATGAATTTCATGCACTGAGCCTCTAGTGTTAAATAAAATGCATTCTGTCCTCCTGTTTTGACAAACACAACCTCACAGCAACTTGGGAGCCAGATTCCAACTGGAATTCTCTGACTCCAGGTCCACTGGTGGGCATCCCAGCTCCATGTGGCAGCTCCACCCATGTCCCCTGCAAACGGCTTCCTCTGGCCACACCTTGGGCCTTGGGGTACTCACCCCAGCAGTGGGGTCACTGGATGATGAACCCATGGAGGGGTTGGAAGTTGGGCTGGGAATCTCAAGGTCACAGGTACCTAGAGCTCGATCCAGGACAGTGAGCACCTCTGGGCGCTGTGTGGATGGGTAGGACTAGACTGGAGCCCTGTGGAGTGTGGCAGGGCAGGCCCGCCTCTTGTCCAGGTCTGGGTGGGGCTGTTGGCTATAGACTGGATCTCATGGGATGGAGTGTTTATGAGGTACTGCAGATGCTTTGGGGTTCCTGGCCTTCAGAATAGAAGATGGCTTATGCACAAAGATGGGGGGTGGTCTCTGGAAAGAACTAGTTTGAGGGTAAAAAGCATAGGCTCCTCTCAAACATGCTAAGGGGCCGTTGAGACATCCATGTTGAATTTTGGGGCCTGGTGCTCGGAGGAGAGATCAGGCCTGGAGATATAAATGTGGAGTCTTTGTTGAGTAGATGGAAACTGAGGCAGTGGCCTGGACAAGATCACCCAGGGGCAGAGAGGAAAGCAGCATGAGGGAGCAGGGGGCCTGGGTTAAACACTCACAGACCAGGGCATGCAGATAGGGACCTGTAGAGCTAAGTATCACTCAGCAAGCACCGCTTAATGCTCCTGTACAGCGATATCGTAAACGTAATTCAACAAGCTCTGCTCGATGCCAGGCTGCATGAGACCCGAGCTTCCAGACGGGTGTCTCCAGGGCAGGGAACAAATGATCTTACAGGAGACACCCAGGGAGGGCAGACAGGGGACCACTGGGGCCCGAGAAGTGTCTCTGAAAAGGGAGGCTTGTGTTAAATATTTGCTTGAGAAAAGCAGAAGGTGGAGCCAGTCCTTCCAACCCCCCCACCCCCACCCCACATCCTTGCTCCCCCAATACCAGGGGTGTTTCTGGAAATCCCGGCCAGGGACCAGGCTCCTGGTGCCCTGTTCTCCCAAGTCACTTTTTTCAGAATTAATGAGTGCAGACTCGCAGCACTGAACAAGGCATGTCCTTTGAGCAAATAACATTCAAATCACGCAGGAATTTCTCAAAAGCAGCCTAGCGAGTTGCAGCAGGAGCAGTCCTTCGAGGAGAGGGCTGGACCTGGAGGAGGGGAGAGCAGGAAGGGACGAGGCCTGATGATGGGCGTGGCTTGAGGAGGGGGCGGGGCGCGAGCAGGCCGGCCTCCACCGCGCAGTCAGTCCGGTGGGCTGATCCAGCCGGAGGACCTGGAGCACGGGCGTTATTACAGTCGGTCGGTCGGTCCTGGACTGGTTGCAGGACCTACGTGACCATCCGCCCAGAGGGCTGTGTCGGGGGGACGCGCTGCTCCGGGAACCCTGAAGAGGACAGATGGGTTTCCGCTTCACGCAGCAGCACACCCACCACAAGTGACAGATAACCCGCACTATTCTCCCCGGGTGCACGCAAGCGCGCTGTCTCCTCGGAGCCCACGCCATCCTGAGCAGGGACCCCAGGCCCCACATTTCAGGGTCGCCCCCCCAGGAGGGTCTTCGCTCCTGCCTTCTCCCCCCCCCCCCCAGGAGGGTCCTCGCTCCTGCCTTCTCCGTGGCCTGCGGGGTCGGTCCGGTCCCCACGCGGGGCGTAGAGGCTGCTCCCGCCTCGCCGGGCTCACAGGGCCAGCGCGGTGCTAGACGCTGCGTGGAAAAGGGGCCATCCGCTCGCAGCCGGCGCGCCCGGAGGCTCGGACAACACAGTGCCTACTGCGATGCGCTGTCCCAGGGCGCGAGGCCGGAGGAAGCGGATTTAGAAGTTTTTAGGGAAAATGCCCGCAGAAGCCCAGGGGCTGGCATTTCCCCCTGCCGGGCCTCCCCTCCTCGCCCGCGCACCCCGCGGGGTAGCTGTCTCTCCTCTGAGCGTCTGGCCCCATCCCACCTGGCCTCGAGCCCCTTTGGTGTCCCCATCTGTCCAATACCTTGCACCATCCACCCTGCACTTGTCAGACGAGGTTGCATGCATCCATCCTCACGATGGCCACCTCCCTCATCCGAGATTTAAACTGGCACTATTATTCACCTAATGTTTTTCTTTAACTGGGTCAACTTTTGTTTTTACCTAAAATGTACTAAAAGTGACATTATGCTTTGATTAAAGGTTTCCATTAACACTAGTGAGCTCAATTATTTCAGAGAATATGAATGTTTACAAAATTATGTATAAGTTCCTTTGTTTATTAAGAAAATTGCTCAGAGAATATGAATGTTTACAAAATTATGTATAAGTTTTTGTTTATTAAGAAAGTTGCTACAGCTCATTAAGATGGAAAATTCAATTTAATATCCAGTTTGTTTTATTTAGTATTCTGATAAGATTTATTGTATTTTAAAGCTAACATTGAAAGCTTTAAATTTCAGTAGGGGGTGTGTAGGAGGCAGCTGATCGATGTTTCTAACTCTCTCTATCCCTCTCCCTTCCTCTCTGTAAAAAAATCAATAAAATATATTTTAAAAAAAAGAAAAAAGAAGAAAATTGCTACAGCTTATTAAGATGGAAAGTTCAATTTAATATCCAGTTTGTTTTATTTAGTATTTTGATAAGATTTATTGTATTTTAAAGCTAACATTGAAATCTTTAAATTGTAATTTGTATGTGCATAATCTCATACATAAACTGCTGTTAAGGTTTATTTTTTTAAAAGGTTACAAATAGTAAAACATCTTCACTTCAAAAATGACAGATCTTTATATTTTGTGTCTTTTAAATTATTTCAACGAAGTTATTTGCTGTGTCCATTTTAAATCTTTTCACCTAGTTTGTCACTGCTGCTTGCTATGCTTTTATTATGTTAAATATTTGCACAACAAAATAAGACTAAATCTTTTCTTCTCTTTTGACACTTTAATCTCATAAATTAATGTAACACCTAGTGCTCTCTGTCAACAATGGGCAGACATCTTCTATCTCTCCCTTGGGGTTTCTTAGATGGCCATGGAGTAACCATGAAAATTTAACCCCTGGAATTATAAAATAAATAATGCTAAAATAGTCATTAACATATTACCACTGGAAGTTACTTTTATACTTGGACAATACACCTTACCAGCCATGACCAGTGACCATTAGCATAAATAACATGGACTCTGCTATAATCCCAGAGGGTTTAGAACCCTGCTTGTCTTCACAGTCCCTGCAAGGACTTCCTTTTCCTCTGAGAGATTAGAAAACTGACCTTCACAGTGGGCTGAGTGGTCCCGGTGAGGAACATGGCCAAGTCTGGGGGAGGGGCCTGGCCAGTCCACCCAGCCCTGACCGTGATCTTTGTCCGGTGACTGTTGTCCCCTCTCCGATTGCAGCTGGGGGCTGGCTCTGGAGGCCTCGGGATGTATATCTGGTTCCCTGGCCTCGGAGCCCAATGCTGAGCCTACAACACATAATTCATAAATAGTTGTCAAGTGAAGCAGGCAGATGGTTAAATAAATGGAATTGGTGTGTCTTCTTACGAGGCTGGTGTGCACTGTTAGTCACCTATGCTTCTGAGACTGTAGAGTCTACAGGGAGTCTAGAGAAAAGTGCCCCGAGCTGAATCCAGGAAACAGTTCAAGTGACTCATTTTCTAGTCAATTCATTTCCCCCCACCGAAATAATGACGTTTACTGGCAAGTTATTTTTATATATTCAAAATCCCGATGATTTTTAAAACGTTGGTTTAAATGTTGGTCCCATGTGCTACAAACAAGCTTGAAGTAACCATTGGGCGCCACAGTCTCAAGGAGATCCATTTTGATGCCCTGATTATGCGGAAAAGGATGTGGCAGCCTGTTCTTCCTGAAAGGCCTGGGAACAAGCCCTGCCCTGTTCCCACCAATGAGTACTCTCCAAAGGGAAGCCCCGTGGGGATGGGGAGGTCCGGGCTGTGTATAAAGCAGAAATGGGGCTCCATTATTGGCTGTGAAATAAGATGATCATGTGCCCCGTGGAAGGTAGGGCTACGATCAACTTCTGCTTTTCAGGTGACTAACGCAAAAATACGGTTAATATCATTAAAATGCTCCCTCTTTTACCGCCCCATCCTGCCCTCATTATTCATCTGTGTTGGCTAAGAATAAGCCTTTGCTCACCGTACAGTCCTACAGGAATGAGTGGTTTTTAGCTGTGAAAGTTTGCAATCACACTTCTCGACCTCTGACCCAGATATCTTTTCAAGAGTGGGGTATATTCAGGCTGAGATCCACCCCACCCCCCACCACCAAAGGTGGAAAAACATCTTTCCTTTCCAAGCGATTTGTTGTGCGTAAAAAAGACACCGTTTTCTAGGAAAGGATGGGGAACTCCTGCTGTCTTTGGAACATTAGATTTGCTGATGGGGTAATTAAAAAAAAAGTTACTTCCAAAGTGAAAACTTCGGCGTAAAAAAAAAAAAAAGCAACACATGATTCCCCACGAATTCTGCTGAGTGGAAAAAGCCAGTTCCCCAAGATCCCACACTAGATGACTTCTGTGTGCAAACGCAACATATTTTAAAATATCACATTTTTAGAAATAGAGGAAAGATTAGTGAGAGCTAGGGCTTGGGAGTTCGGTTATAAAGGGACCACCGGGGGTCCTTGCCTGATGGAATGTTCTTTGTAAAGACACGAACCTACTACGCAGGCAATACATTGAATAGAAGTTAATACACACAATGGAGGACGGGGAAATTTGGGGAAATTTTAATAAGATCGGGGGATTGTATATCAAACTCAGTATCTTGGTTATAATATACTTTTCCCCCTTTTTTGCAGTCTTGCGAAGTGATAGCACTGGGGGGAAAACACGGCAACTGAATTATTTCCCACCTCTGCCTGAACGATCTAAAACGTGACAGTCTCTGTGCGCCCGGCCTTTCCCCACGTCCCGCGGTG